TATGATAGACACAGTCCAGACCAATTAATAGAATGATTAGATAGGAGATTATATACTATGAGCATAGAAAATTCAGGCTTTAAAAAAATTAATGACATGTTTAAAGTATCTCTCAAATATAAAAATAAAAGTACATTCTAGTAATAGAAAATCACTACTGAAATTTCTTCAGTAGTTTCTCTCAAAATAAGGGATATCATTTATTTTTCCAGGATAAAATAACTCTTGAGTTTTAATTCTTAGTGTATAAATACTGAGGGGAGCTGTGGTAGCATAGTGGCTAAGACACTTGCCTGCTAACCAGACGGCTGGTGGTTCAAACCCACCAGCCACTCCTCGGAAGGAAGGTTGGGCAATCCTACTTCCGTAGTGATACTGCCTCGGAAACCCGAGGAGGGGTCGCTATGAGTCGGGTTTGACTCCATGGCACATGACAACAACAACAACAACAAATACTGAGACTTAAGACTTCTATATTTTAATGACCAATGCAAAACTTTTTATTAGTCAATGTGAAAATAAGAAAACACCTTTTTGCTACCATCTATCAACTTAAGAAATAAGTCGGTTATGAAATAAATAGGTTACAAAAGTTACACATAGAAAGAATTAGAGTATAGACTATTCCAATCACTCTACTGAAATAATTTAATTCAAGGGGCATTAGCAGAGCAGCCTGAGCACAATGTACGGTCAGGTAGCCCGAGTCTGACAGCTGACCCTCTTTATAATCCCCAAGCCATCTAAAAGTAGTGCTTTCCTCACAATTATTAAGAATTAAACGAAATCATGCATCCAAAGTGCCTGGCATAGTACTTACAAGCAGTTACTAATGTTTTGTGTCAAATGCTTTTTACTACTACAGAGTTGTAACTGCACAACGACAAAAAAAAAAAAAAAAAAAGGCCTTTCCAATTCTCCAATAGAGTGATGATTATTTACAACACTGATCTAACTTAGCAGTTTACAAATGCCAGTCATCAATCTCAAATCTCTAAACTTACTCTGTTACTTTTCTGAGAAAATATTTAGCAAGTCGTACCTTCCATATCACAGACACACAACGATTAATTTACCTTCAGCAAAGATATCCTAAAATCTAGACTAGGGTAAGCACCTATGCTTTCTTAAGATAGCAAGACTCCCAATTGTTTATTTCCTGCCCCAAACTACAACATTCTACCAGAACTGGAAAGGTCTTAAAATCAGTCCCACTAACCAATTCCACACTCAGCACTTGTCTTGGTCAAAGCTACTTATAACACATATAATGAGTTTAGAAGCCAGGTTTCCTGAGGTCCCAGTTAGAGTTTACCAGAGCTCCTAGTATAAAACATAGAGCATATATAATTTAATATTACCTTCATTTAGCCTTACTACTGAGAAATGGTAGCATAGTGGCTAAAGCACTTGACTGCTAACCAGAAGGCTGGTGGTTCAAACCCACCAGCCACTCCTCGGAAGGAAGGTTGGGCAATCCTACTTCCGTAGTGATACCGCCTCGGAAACCCAAGGAGGGGTCGCTATGAGTCGGGGCCGACTCAACGGCACATAACAACAACAACAACAACAACTGAGAAATGGAGAGTTTTCATTACAGAAGCTGACCAGTATCAAGTATGAACAAAAATATTATAGGCAACATTCAAAGCAAGATAGATGTAAAAGTTTAAAATACAAATTATGGTATAGTAAAATCCACGAAGCCAGAACCTGCAAAAGATGGAAACCTGTCAGAGGAGGAAAATCCAAGTATTTTCCATTAAAACAAAAGATAAAAAAAAGTAGTAAGCCTTCATTGTGAAAGGTGGAAAACTTACAAGATCAGGAAAAATAAGTCAGTCCTGCAGAGTTCCAGCTCACAGGTTTCACTGTACTTAATTGTACTTAAAACCATTCTAAATTTAAAATCTTATGATAAATTAAAAATTCTCATTACTGTCCAATCACAAACTTAGTATTTTGGGCTATATAATATATATGCAATACTGATTACTGCGCCTCCCCACCCCTCTACTTTTAGGTGGCATTAAATGCTATCATACAAATAAAAATTTCTTTTCTTTCTCTTCCTATGAATATCTGACATTTACATGTGGTGAAAAAGGTAAAAAAAAAAGTTACCTGGCTTAAAATGTTTTTTTCATTTGCTCATGAACACAAAATTTACAGTCAGGAGTTGCACATAAAGGGTTTATTTTAAATGTTTTGAGGATAGGATAGAGTTACATCATAATTATAAAAATTACTTACAGAATTAACAGATTTATATTGTTTATACTTCTAAATGCAGAGAACAGGGAACTGTGTACACACTGTATAAAATAAAATGAAAATTAAAAAATGAATTCAAGCTCTAAAGATGAGGTCATTTACCTAATTTTTAAAATGTGAACACGAAGACCTCTGAACTATACACTTTCATTCAAACTGCACTAATGATGTAAAATACAAAAAGCGCAGCATTTCCAAGGAACCACAAACATTTCAACCATAATTACTTTCAGTGATAATAATTGTTTCTGTTTTGTCTTTGGAGAACGTTTTTTTGTTTATTAAGACAATCAGCTTAAGAATGATTTTAGGCACTACAATTTGCAACAATCAAAACAGTGTTCTAATGGTCTACAGCTTTCAAAAATTCAAGTCCAGTGCACTTTGGGGTTTGGCACATAAAACAATAATAGAAATGATATCTGTTTTTAGAAGTAACTGTGATTTTTTTAAAGAATACACAGTCCCTTCAAATGCTGCATGACAATATACAAGTGGAAAATTACCTTCTGTTGGCACTACATTTGCTTCACTAGTGCATTTTTATCCTACAACCACTAAAACAGCACAGTAAGCAAATATACAGAAAACTGAAAACAAATGAAAAAAAAGATAGAAAACAAAAAACCTAGATATCTTTAACATGCAATTTTAGTTAGTTACATTGAACATTCTACTTAGAATAGAGCATGCAAAAAAGGATGGTCTGCTTTTAAGATTTTTCTTTGAAGTTTTACATGGCAGCCTGACATCTCTCTCTTTCTCTCTCTCTCTCACATACACATATACACACAATACAATAATACTATAGCAGGTAAATGAGAAAGGCCAATAAATTTATACACAGATTTGTGTCTTGTGTCATCACAAGCCCTATAATAATTTTGGAAGTTAATGTTCAATTCCTGTAACAAGGAACCAACATTTAGATACCAGGGAAATGCAAGCAATGCATGCAGATCTGAAACTTGAGCCTAAAATGAAGCCAAAGACACAAAAGCCATGGAGTAGAATAAGTCACAGCATCAATAAATGTGGTTTAAGCCACCAAAAGAATGAATGGAGGAAAAAAAAAAGGAAAACAGAACAAAAATCCTTCCTCTTCCCTCACCCCTAAAAGCAATAAATGAAACAATTATTAAAATACACACACATGTAACATTCACCTACAGATTAGCAGATCATGTGGTGTATTACAGTTGCTAAAGTTGCTTGTAGAAAATCCACAATGCAAGTCATTAGATAATGCTAAAATGTTTTGGTGACCCAACCCTCAGCATACTTCAAAATGAACTTTTTCACTGTACTAAGTTACGCACACATTGTGTGTGCTGGATACAGTCACTGTTGTGCCACAAATATAAGCTTGGGTTCATAGAGCCAGGCTCAGCCTTGAGATATACATGTAGTGACTCAATAGAAAATGGGAGACAACAGAAAAGACATACCAGATCTGCAGCATGAAACTCAAACACAGGAAACATTTATGACCTCAGTGCTTTCACACTGTGCTAAGAAGCTTGCCTTTGGTTGCCCAAGGTAGAATTTTGGGCCTAATCTGATGATAGCCATGGACAGCAGTTGCATCATGAAACATATACCTTAAGACTAAAATGGGAGTCAAGCAAAATATGAGTAGAAATCTTTAAATTATCAAGTCTCTTAACATCAAGAATAGCCACAATAAGTAAGTCCCTTGGCCCTCTGATCTTAAACCTCTGGTGCTGACAGCTTGCATGGTTAGCCTTTTGAAATCTCAAGTCTGAGCCTCTCCATGAGAGAGACTAGTTTCACATATTGCTTATTTTCCTTGCTTGCAAACCACCAAGGTGTATCCAAAACCAAGTGATATATGGCAATTTTGGTGGTAAAACCAACCATTTCTGCAATTCTGTTTTGGTTTAAAACTACTTTGCAAGAATTTTCCATGTAAGGATTCTGTGGCTAAGGGCCGCTATTACTTACACCTGGAAACTAACATAGATGATGGAACCTTATATGGTAAAATATCACTGACATGCAAAATCCTACAGTCCACTGAATGGAATCCACACTAACAGCATACTGTAAGCAAGGACATACAACATCACAAAAGGCATCAATAGATTTAAGCTGTTATTTGTCAAGACAATCTTTGTGGAGAAAAGCCAGGGGGAAAAAGCCTTTTGACCATAATCATTCATCAATAATAACAGTAATAAAAAATCCCAAAGAATTTGTAAGAAGGCAACAATGCCATTCTTAAAACTTACATTTCTAATATAAAAGTATCGTGCTCTTCCAGGAACTCAAAACACATACACACAAACCACTGATGTACCAACTCTCTTTTAAATTCATATACTAAAATCCAGGTTACTAATTTGTACAAATAATGGGCCAAATGTGCCATCCAAAATACACCTCCATTACACTTTGTGGACAAAGTACCTGGGTTTTACTAAAAAAATACTTAAGATTTAAAATATAACAACAAAAAATTACAACGCTTAGAATAAAGGCAGCCTTTTATCCAGATAGCTGACCAGTCTCTAAAATGTCTAATGTGGGTCATTAACTGTGATTCAGATTTTCACTTATCATTTAAAGTCTCCAGATTTAAAAGGTGTACTGTATTTTCACCTTTCAAAAAAGGCTGAACATCTCTATTGCTTCTTGTATCCAAATTTAAGTTTAAATAAACAAGAGTATGTATGTATACATATATACACATATGTATATATATGTATAATATGTATGACTGACTTGAATCAAGCACTCCTGTTAAACTGGAGAAAATTATTTAACCCCTTATCCAATCCACAAAGAAAGGACTGCCGCGAGCGAGAGAAAAAGAGAGAGAGTAAGAGAATACATATAGCTATGTGTATAAATATGTACTCTATATATACACATAGATATATAGATAGGTAGATAAGTATAGATATATATCTCAAAAAGGCAGTAACAAAAAAATACCAAACTACACTTGCATTGTGGCAGCAGAATAGGAGAGTTAGGGTGAAGGGGAAAATGGTTAAGATCTATTAATAGTTTTTGATGATTATGATATTAGCTTAACTTTTACCAAATTTGCCTGTGACTCCTCTCCAAAGATACATATTTCTTTTAAGAGGAAGGTGTTCCTTACACAAAATGCTTTGTGTTCACATAAATCTGTACTACTCAGAACAAAACAGTTTTGCTGGCAGAGATTGTGGGTTCGCAGGGACATTTAAGCTTTCATTAAACTGGAAAGCAATCAAGTCTTTATGTCTACAAATTATACATTTAATAGTTCCACAAATTTGGCAAAGTTCACGATGACATCTAGGATGTTTTCACCAAATCGTAGACATAAATATGGAAATCATCATCAAACTTGATGAAATAGACAGATGGTTTGGCTTCTACTTGATGAATGACCATGCCAGTCCTTTTCGAGCCATCTTCTTTGGCATATTCCACTTGTTTGCCTACCAGGCTGTCCACAACTTCTCCTGGTTCCCTTTCTGCTGGAGGAGAATCATCTGTATTTAAAGGAGGTGGGGTAGGGGGTGGGGGTAGGAAATGTAAAGTCAATTTATAGAAAATACCAACTCATGTGTCTATTTTAATATGTATTTTTTAATATTGTGAATTTGTTTTCAATTATCTAGACCAGAGCATGGCAAACTTTTCCTTAGAAGACCAGAGAGTAAATATTTATACTTCACTGCATTCAACATTATCTCCCTAACCCAATTTCAAAACATACAAGACTTCCAATGCTTTAATTGTAGGAGGTGGTTGAACTCCACCATGTACCAATTACAACTGGATTTCTGAGGATGATCCAGACCGATAGTTTTTAAAAGTCCCTGAGGAAAAGCTGCATCATTTGCTTCTTTAGTTACAACAAATTTTCTCATTGAGTGACACAATCCAGAAGGAGAACAAATGGATATAATGTTACCAGGTTCTGTTCAACAGGGATGAATACGAAATCTACACTAAATGCTTCTCTTCAGAAATTATCTTCTTTCAAGTAGCATCTTCAAACTGCCACACTTTTATGGCACTTTACCATTAACAAACCAAACCAAACCAAAACAAAACAAAACAAAAAAACCTCACTGCTGGTTGAGTTGATTCAACTCACAGTGCCCTGTTCTTGGGTTTCTGAGGTGGTATCTCTACAGAATTAGATTGCCCAATGTTCCTTCCAAGGACTGGCTGGTGGATTTGAACCACCAGCCTTCTGGTTAGCAGTCAAACATTTTAGGCACTATGCCACCAGAGCTTACCATTAAGAAGGAATTCCAAACAATGATCACACTTTATTATTACCACAGCCCTGAGTGACCCAAGGGACTAATCATATAGAGGTCAATATCAGCAACAGAACTGGGGCCCAAACATAGGAGATCAGACCATTTCAGAGCTTTTCACACCAACCATCACTGTTTCTGATGTGAAAATAAATGTTCCAAGCACTCAAAACTATTTAAGCAACTTGGAGGAAGAATGGAGTGATATAATAAATAAGTGGCTAGGGGGAGGGGGAAAAAACAGAAGAGTTAGGAAAGGGATGGAGTATGTGCAAATGACCTCACACTTTCTATTATTAGGTTAATATTAATATTTCTCGACCAAAACATCAAAGATAAAATTAATTCATGCTGGGAAAATGCTTTCAAGGAATGGTATCATGATAAATTTTAAATGCCTTTGTATTTCTATTACACCTCTATAACAAATGCAAATAAACTTGGAAATAAATAAAAAGCTAAGTACCAGTAAAGAATTCAAGGCCAAAAAAGGACATTAGTAGTGTCATTAATTAACTGGCTTGTTCAGAAGAACTAAAAAAAAAAAAAGAAATAGAAATGATTGTTACTTTGTTAATATATCCAGTATCTGCAGACATATTTGTCCAGAGTCAGGGATGCATATGCTTGAGGACAGGCTCTTGGGCAAGTTTAAAAAAAAAGAGCCTTCAAAACCACAATGAGATACTACGTCATCCTCACTACTTGTTGCCATTGAGTTGATTCAATGCGTTACAAAACAGAACTGCTCCACAGGGTGTTCTTGGATGTAATCTTTATGGAAGCAGATTTCTGGTCATGACATTGCCGGGTCAGTTCAAACCACTAACCTTGAGATCAGTGTGGTTCAGTGCTAACTGTTTGTGCCACCCAGAGCCCTCACAAGGACAACAAGAATAGTAACAAGTGTTGACAAGGATGTGGAGAAATTAGAATATTCATGCATTGCTGGTGGCAATGTAAAATGGTACAACTGCTATGGAAAATAGTTTTAGCTTTTCAAAAAGTTAAACGTAGAAAACCTTATGACCCAACAATTCAACTCGTAGAAAAATATCAAAGATTCTTCAAAGTAAAGATTCAAATTGATACTTGTACACAACAGTTCATACCAGCCTTACTCACAGAAGATAAATGGTAAAAACAACTCAAGTAGCCATCAACAGATGAATGAATAAACAAAATGTGGAACATACATTAAAAATAAATAAATAAACAAAAAGCTGCCAAATTAATTCTAACTCAGGGTGACTCCATGGTACGTCAGAGTAGAACTGTGTTCCATGGCTGATTTTTCAGAAGTAGATCACCTGGCTTTCTTCCTAGGAGTCTCTGGGTATACGTGAACAATCAAACTTTTAGTTAGTAGCTGAGTGCATTAACTGTGGGCACCAGCCAGAGACTCTAAATACATATATACTATATAAGCTACATAATACATGCTTACAACATGAACAAACCTTAAAAACATTATGCTGAGTGCAGTAAATCAGACATAAAGGGATAAACACATGATCCCACTTGTATGAAACAGGTACTAGAATAGGCAAATACATACACAGACCAACATTTAGTAGTAGTTGCTAGAGGCTAGGGAAGTTTGGCATGGGGAGCTTTTGCTTAAGAGACACTGAATTTGTTTAGGGTGATAAAAAATTTTTGAAAATAGTACAGATGGTTGCACAACTTGGTGAATGTAATGTCACTGAATTGTATACTTAAAAATAGCAATTACATATGTATTTTACTTGTTGTTGTTGTTGTTATGTGCCGTCGAGTCGGCCCCGACTCATAGCGACCCCTCCTTGGGTTTCCGAGGCAGTATCACTACGGAAGTAGGATTGCCCAACCTTCCTTCCGAGGAGTGTTACTAGAACAATTTTTTTTAAAGGGACAATTGATGAAATTAACTCTAGTCATACTCTTTTCTACTTTCCCCACTAAATACCCATATGGACTTAAAAGTATCTGAGACTACTTATGGAAACAGGCAAATGGTCTGTCTAAACACTGACTCTGAAAGTCGGTTATTATTAAAAGGTTCCCCAATGAACTATTTTCTGAAATCACTATTCTCTAAAGTGGAGTTTAATTCCATACAGATAGATTGATATAATGTCTAGGGTTGGCTTCTGAAGAATTAAGTTGGAAGAAAAATATATAAAACCATACTGGTCATGAACGATTTACCTGTTAAAGTGGAGAGAAAGGGACAAAGGAATTTATTTTAATAATCATAACTTTCATATATTTTAAAATAATAAAAGTAAAAATAGTACTATTAATAAAATAATACAAAATAATAAATAAAAAAATGAAAGTCAAAACACTGGAGTAAGGCTCCTGAATAGACAAGGGATCCTATGCTGAGAGTTCTGCTTACTAAGAAGTGCTCTCTGGCAATACTTGATATTAAGGAATAAGAGTCTAAATATATCTGTACTGCTAAGTTATTATGATGAATGAAAATTCACATGAACAGGAAGCTTCAAATACATGTATGCTTTTGCTTCATGTCCACAATATGTTCTGTGAAGTTAAGACTATGTGATTTTAATGTCATGCAAACGTCCTATTAAAGCCTATGGGAGCCCACTTCTGGTCATCCTCACTGCTGCCACCACTGAAGGTGCTGCTGATAGAGACTAGAAGAACAAGGAGCGGGAGCCAGAGAAGTGACCAGAAGCAAGTGGGGAGGGAACAGAGCATGCCCAGTCCCACGCACTCACCTGGTCACAGGACATAGCCCAAGAGCCCAGACCCTGAGCCATCCCTGCCTCACTGCCTGTATCTCACTCATGATACGGGTTTGAGGTCTTTAAAATCGTTGTTGTTATGTGCCGTTGAATCAGAGCTGACTCATAGTGACCTCTTCTTAAGTTTCTGAGGGGGTATCACTACGGAAGTAGATTGTCCAACCTTCCTTCCAAAGAGTGGCTGGTGGGTTTGAACTGCCAGCCTTCTGGTTAGCAGTCAAGTGCCTTAGGCACTACGCTACCAGAGCTCCCTTAAAATCACTCTTGTTGTTATGAGCCATCAAGTCGAACCCAACTCACAGTGACCTCTCTTTGGGTTTCCGAGGCGGTATCACTACAGAAGTAGATTGCTCAACCTTCCTTCCAGGGAGTGGGGAAATAATAAAAGGAGTGGTGCTTAATAAACAGACAAAAAGAACACTCTTACAGAACCACAGATGTATATGGAGTCAGATATTGCTCAAATGGACATTAAGTGAAGCATACCTGTATACTCATACACTAAAATAAATCTGTCAAAAAAAAAAAAAAAAAAAACAACACAACCCTAACCTCTATTTAGGAGCTCGGGTAGCATAGTGGCTAAGACACTTGCCTGCTAACCAGACCGCTGGCGGTTCAAACCCACCAGCCACTCCTCGGAAGGAAGGTTGGGCAATCCTACTTCTGTAGTGATACTGCCTCGGAAACCCAAGGAGGGGTCGCTATGAGTCAGGGCCGACTCAACGGCACATAACAACAACAACAACAATCACCTCCATTTTATTACAAGGAGGTCTGGTGGCACAGTGCCTAAGGCATTTGACTGCTAACCACTAGGTCGTGGTTTAAATCCACCAGCCACTCTGCAGAAGGAAGATGGGGCAACCTACTTCTGTAAAGATTCACTGCCTCAGAAACCTTATGGGGGTCGCTATGAGTCAGAATCAAGTGATAGTAGTGAGTTTGGTTTTGATATTTTAGTATGGAAGTCAAACAGCAACTGATTATCACACATTTTCTTATATACAATTTTTAGCGAGAGGAAGAAAATTTTCACAACCAATGACTAAGATACAATAATCAAAATTCCCTAATAATTAAAATGAAAAATGTATCTTTAAAATAGTTAATCAAATATCTTGTTTTAAAATCCAAATTTCTTTTAAATAATAAAAAAATGAAGGTGCCAACATTTACTTACTAGAATCAGGCATGATGCGAAGGTCGCCTTCTTTATAGTCATCTAAGAGCTGGTACATGTACAAGACGGGATCTTTTTCATAGGTAATGTAAAACCATGTGTTCATTATAGGTGCACGTGCTAAGACCATTCCCCTCCATTCATCTTTAGAACCATCCTCTGTCTCAAACATATGTTCCACAGCTTTACCAATCATTGTGTCTGCTAAGTGTGCATCACTGATTCGAGATGTTGCTGGGAATTAAAAAACAAAACATCCAATGTTGATAAAATGTTTCATTGAATATTTACTATTAAGACTAAACTTACTAAAGAAGAGAACCTGAAATGTGTCTATGCAATGCATTAGCAAGTATCATCCAGAAGGCTTACTGAAAATTGCTGGGGCATATTCCCAGAGTTTGATTCAGTACCCCTGAGGTGAAGCCAAGATTTTTAATTCCTTACATGTTCCCAAGTGATGCTGATACTGCTTGTCCCTTTAACTACTAATCTACTCTATTCATTTCTCAATTTCAGAACATTTTCTTGTAGCCATAGAAACAACTGTCTTTAAAAAGCAATCAGCATTCCTATTTTATTAATTAATCGGTGTTTTTACTACTGTAGCATAATAAAAACCAAAGGAAGATAAATTAGAATTCCTTGGTAAATGTAATAGGTATCTTAAACATTATGATGAGATATTCTTTGCTTAAATATATAATAATAATAATAAATTACACAGAATTAGCTACTCTCTATACATGCTATTAAAAAAACTCAACTGGTTTCTTCAAGCCAGAAATTACCAACTTTGTGATCTCAGGACTCCTTTATACTCTTAAAACTTACTAAGAACCTGAAAAAGCATTTGTATCTATCAGTGTTTATTATTTTAGAAAGGAAATGAGAAATTTAAAACTATCAATGTAAACATCTTTTTTCATGAAAAGTAACTAGTTTCTAAAAATGCAGAACTAAAAGTGGCACTGTTTTACATTTTTATCTCTTCAATGTCTACCTTAAAAAACAGCTAGATTCTCACACCTGACTCTGCATTTAATTTGTTATAAAATCCACCCTTCACAAAAATAGGCTGATAAGAGAAGTACTTTAATATTCTTTTCAGATAATATTGGATATTCTTCTATGATACTACATCAAAACTCAGTTAATAATTCCTTTAATATTAGTTGCAATGCAGAATCTAGCTCTGGTAGCATAGTGCCTAAGGCACTTAACTGCTAACCAGGAGGCTGGCGGTTCAAACCCACCAGCCACTCCTCGGAAGGAAGGTTGGGCAATCCTACTTCCGTAGTGATAACTGCCTCGGAAACCCAAGGAGGGGTCGGTCGCTATGAGTCGGGGCCGACTCAACGGCAAATAACAACAACAACAACGCAGAATCTAAAACCATTATCAATAAATGTGTCCACTATGTTACATTAAAATCTACTAGTCTGTCTTGCACTATGAATGGATCTTTTTACCAGGTAATGATTTGGTAACATCATGAATTACTCCTATGGAAATACCATATTTGCAGAGTTATGTGGATCTTCCAAATGGGTAGTAGAAAATCTCACTCTATACTTGTGAAACAATGAGAGTGAAAAGGTAAATCCCATAATTTTATTATGAAAATAGTTTTGACCTCACAAACACCTGAAAAGGTTTCATGGAACTTGAAGGATCCCCAGACCTCATCGCAGGCACCATTACTCAATGCTTTTAGGTTGATACATAGTTTATTACTCCTTCTCCCACATTTACCTTAAAGAAAATATGATTTTAACTATAATGTACCGCCTAAAACAAATTAAGGAAAGCTGTTTTCTTTCTATAAGGAGTATTTTTTTTTTTGGTCATGAGGAAAAACAAGGTGTCTAGTCATGCTTAGAATACATAAAAATGTTGAAAATGTCAAGTTTTATATTCCATAATTAGTTACCTTTGAGAATAATAGTGAAGATTTAAATTTAAAGTCGCCTGTGAAAACTGAACTATGTTTATATAGGATAACAAATACTTAGCATTTGACATCTCTAAAAGGATGATTAACAAAATAATTTACTGTTTTGGCAAAGAGTTAGCTTGTTGGGAAAACACATATGTCCTAAGAACACAAGATCATAGTCTGAAGATAAACAAAGGAGAAAATTGGACTAGTTTCTTCCCTGGACAACCTGACAACAAAAAAAATTTTTTTTTAAAGTTTTTATGATATCCAATCTTCCCTCAAAGTATAGGTCTGCTGAAGCTTTTTATAATGATATAGGCTTCTAAAAGCAGAAACTATTTTTTTAGCAAGAGCCGCATCACTGTAATAACGATAAAATATTTCAAAGTAAATACTCTAAAGAAAATAATATTAATTTGGTTGCATTTTATATGACTTAAAAATTTTATCAGTTGTTATTTTATGTTTCACCTGGGACACTTGCCAGGGAAAAGAAACACTGTGTGACATTAAAAAGAAGTCATTCATTTCCAAAGCACTGTGCAACAAACTCTAAAGAATGTATAACAAAGCACATGTATCTGAATGCTTAAGTTTTAGATCAAAGAACAGACAATACATTGTGCACTGTCATTTATGTAATATACAGTGAAACAAACGTGTCACAGAATCCAAAATAAATTCATCCTTCTCTTAGATATTGTAATCTGCTGAAATTAACACACAGGATGTCTGAGCTAATAATATTCTTACCCAAAAATTCTAGAAATAACCATACTAGGAATTATTAAATTTTTTGGAGGAACAATTTTATACATCTTTACGTTCAACAATTTCTTGACCTGGGGTTTTGAAACATTTACTGATCAATTTTGATGGCTTTTGTGTGGCTATTTTAAATGGAGTGCTTGCATTCCAATAAAAATACCAATAATGCAGAAGAATGATAAAAACCATTCATTTCAATAGAGTTTTAAAGCATATACTGCACAAATAGTGAAAAGAACTTACCAACTCTATCAGGGAGGACTTCAAGTGCAGAAACTCTTTCATCTTTATTAAGTTCTAGTCCATAAACACAGTCAAATCCATCGTATTTTATAAGATACAATGAAGGATTTACAGGAACCTGATCCAGAACTGTTCCTTTCCACTGTGTAACAGGTCCATTCCCTTCTTTCCACCCATGCTGAATTCTGCAGCCCACGATGTTCCGCCGGGGCTGGGAAACAGGTTTGCTGGGTCCCACACTGCTCCGATGTTTTCTGTATTCACACATATATACATATAATGGATAATCTCAAGCGTATGTATTTCTAGATGCCACAAAACTACTGGCTAGCATGCTCTCATTTACCAGATGATCTTGAATGATACACCAACTAATGTTTGCCACATTAATCTTTCAGGTGACTCGAGATCTTTATGCTCTAGGCCCACAACAGTGGTACTTCTGGGGGACAGGGGTAGCATGCTTCTTTATTGTGTAACCCTCCTACATTCACGTGTAACAAGACCAGTTAGCAACAGGTGCTTGGTATGCATTTGGACATGTACAGACAGAAAAACAGTGTGGGAACTACCACTATTTAATAGCAACTTAAGCCCTGTTATTAAGCATAAGTTTTCCAGCTTTCTAAGTTTCCTTTCATTTAATCGACTTGCCATTATCCAAGTTAATCAAAGAAAGAGAAAGGCCAACCACTTGAAGTATTTATTTTTTTCATACTGTGAATTAGAGCCAACTGAAGAGCAGCTAACAACAACATGGCTTTATATAGTATGAATCCATTTCAAGTCCAAAAGAAATGTGTAACTACTCCACTTTCCCTACTCTAATGTCCAAATAATTCTGCCCCCACTAACTTAAACAGGAATAAGCTAGACATTTAACTATTCTATAAACTGGAGTTCAAGGTTGGCTTCTATCTTATTACTTCCCTAGCAAACATATAATGTCAGTTAATCATTAAAAAAGTTCACAAGTAATGTAATATTAAAAACTATTGGAGTTACATGGAACTACATTCTTTCTGGAGACACCAACAATTGAAAATCTTACATATAATGTTTAGATATAATACACTTGGACCTTGATATCAGGATAAAGCTTTACTTCATCTAGAAATCCAATGATACGGGACAAGTCTTGGCTTAAATGCAATTTAAGGGCTCAAACCGACATGAGAGATGTTGATGTATGCGAAGGATGGGAAAAAAAAATCAAGAAGGCAAAGAGAATTCCCTTCCTCCAGTTTTGTATTAAGCTCAAATAAAAGTGATTAATATCTAATGTATTAAAAACAAATGAATTTTTAAAAGAAATATAGACTGTAATATTTTAAGCTGTAATAACCTATACTCTAAATAGGAGTAATTTATTCTAGACAGATTAGGTAAATTTAGTGAGTTTGTGAAACTGAAAAACCAGTTATAGCAAACTATTAGGGCTACCTCACTGAGGCCTTAAATTAGTTAATGCAGCCCTGAGATCTAATGGAGAGAACGGTTAAAATGGTAGTAATATCACAGATTTGTCATCTCCCCAAATCTCATAAAACAGAGTGACTAGGACGTCTAAGAAACACTCTCACAGACATTACCTTTAATGCAACTAAGCATCAAGGGTCCTCACAAACCCCAGAATACAGGCAGGTGTGACCAAGCCACCAACTGCAGCAAGAACTGTGAGGGCAGCAGCCATGTCCGAGGTTATGGAGAGAAGAAAAAGGTAGCTTCCAGTAGCCGTGAGACTGGAGAGCACCAAATCATGACGAAGTACTCACCCCCAAAAGAAAACTTCTCCACGTGGAATGGAAAATTCAGCAAACAGATCTGAGAACAACCAGGGCAATGGGAAAAGGGATTACAAAGGTTAAGTGCAAGATGGTGAATCCAGAAAATGCTGGATCCGCCTAAGCTCTCTGGGCTCTTAGAAACATCCAGTAAGACTCCTTCCAGGAAAGCAGGAACACTAAACTGAGAACACAGTGCTGGGAATAAAATCCTAACTGAGCAGGGCTGGAACACAAGGATAAAGGAGAGAGAAGTTCAGATACTCATGGGGTTGGGGCTGAAAAGAGACAGATCTCAAAAAGTACGATATAAGTGGCTACACAGATTAAAAAGGTCATATTTTTAATTATGTCACAGGAAAACAGAAGTGTGTGTCTTAGAGCTTTGAAGCTAGGAAAAGGAAAGCTATCCCAGAACACCCTTGCCACTTAAAATAGAAATTCCTCTTAAAAGACAAGAAAAACCCATCTCATTTGCATGAGTCTCAGAAAAGGAAAAAAAGAGACCAACAATCCAAATGATGTACTGAGGGCAATGAAGGTAGATCAGAAAAATATGCCCAAGAAATAGATGGGAGTTATTACTTTATATGAAATAAACAGAAGCAGTGAAAGAGAAATATAAATTAGAAACAAAAATCCTCAGAAATGAAATGATTAGAACACAGAAGACAGACAAGGGAAAAAAACAAACAGACAAGGTAAAGAAATAATCATCAATTTGAATACTTTTCAGGAATGAAGACTAAATTAGAGGAACGTAAGACCAAAGAGACACCATGGAAAGACACAGGAGGGAAACAGATGATGAAAAGGAGACAGATGGGGAAAAAAAAAGGTAATTAAGGAATGGTAACAGATTTAAAGGACGCTAAAAAAGAAAAAGGAAAAAAAAAAAAACAAACAAAACACCACCACTGCCATAGAGTTGACTCCGACTTCTAGCGACCCCTGTTGGGTTTCCAAAGCAGTAAATCTTTATGGAAGTAGATTGCCCAGCTGTGCTTCTGTGAAGTGGCTGGTGGGTTTGAACTACCAACCTCCTGGTTAGCAGTCAGATGCCTTAGGCACTGTGCTACCAGAGTTCCTTTTAGATATAAAAGACAGGCAATGAAAATCGAACTTATATATATATATAAAAGGAGTACCACTCCTTCAAAAAACAATCAGAAAAGAATACTAAAAACCATAATTTAAGAAAACTCCCCTGAAATAAAAAGATCTGAATATACATAAAATACCCCTGGGAAAACTGACCCAGAAAGACTGACACCAAGCCATATTCTAATAAAACAACTGGACTTTAAAGGAAAAATACATCCTTTGGGCATCCAGGGGGAACAAGAAAGGACTAAATCATGCTTAAGGAAAAGAAAATAGGATTTCACAGATATTTTATGCTAGAAGACAATGAAGTAACAAAGTTTTCAGGGAGAAAATGTAAGCCAAGGGTTTTTTATACTAGCAGTCAAGAATAAAGGTTACAGACAAAACTGAAGAACATGTACAATATCAAAGGGAATCATCATTCTCATAAATGCTTCATAAAGAATTTATAGGACAATGACTTTAAGATAATCAAGGAATACCTGCCAAAGTTTCAGCATAGCATTGCTAGTAAGTAATCAATATATTTAACTGTAAAACTAAGACAAATGATGGGGATAAGAGATTGTTATATGCTCAATGTCTGACAATGCGGATTAACTCCCAAACAGGGGAAAGAAGCCCCTGGTAGCACAGTGGTTAACAGCTCAGCTATTTACACAAAGGTTGGAGGTCTGAATCTACTAACCTCTTTATGGGAGAAAGATGCGGCAGCTTGCTTTCATAAGATTACAGCCTGCTCTGTTGTATAGGGTTGCTGAGTTGAAACTGACTCAGCACACAACAATTACACTTAACTCTCAAACATGGGAGGAAATAATATGGAAAGTAAAATAAGCTTGCTGACCCCCTGTGATACAAAGAAATGATTTGGCCTTTGTTTTGGTTCATGAAAGATGGCCTTTCGAATTCTTCAGCAATCGAGTTATCTTTGTCTTCTAAACCAGTCAAATCAAAACCAAACCAAACCCACTGCCATCAAATCAATTCGAATATATAGAGACCTTACAGGACAGAGTAGAACTGCCCCACAGGGTTTCCAAGCTGTAAATCTTTAAGAAGCAGAATGCTTTATCTTTCTTCTGCAGAGGAGGAGCTGGTAGGTTCAAACCCATGACCTTTTTGGTAAGCAGTTGAGTGCCTAATCACTGTACCACCAGGCAACCATTAAATCAGCTAACCTCAGGGAGGGAAGGGGGCATGGTGCAATCAGCCATGCACATTCACTTATTCGATCAATCTTCTACCCAGCGAGGTCCTAATAATGATTGTTCAATGAAACCTAATCATGAGTATACGATAAAAGGCCTGGGACACAAACGTTTGACTTCCTGGAAGAACAAGAACATCTGCTTGGGAGAATGGCATGTATGAAAGCCTCATGGCATGACCCCTCCCAGATTATGTCCCATGCCTCTCTTCTTTTCTATCCTTACTGGTTATAATAAACAGGTAACTGTTAAATTTAAATACTCTCTGTGATTTCTGTGAGGCTTTCCAAGGAATTAATGAACCCACAGGGGGACAGTGAAAGCCAGGAAGAGCTGGTGTCAGCTTATTTGGCAGTCTGAAGGACTATGTCTTTTTTTAATTTTTTTAACTTGTATGCTCTGACCTAGCTTGGGGTGGCTAGGATCAGAGAAGGTGGGTAGTAGAAGTGACAAAAATTATGTGAATTTCCAAATTTGTGGCCAATGCCCACTGTCTTGGCTTCAGGTGGGCAGGGATGAGAAAAAGCCAGCTAGCCTAAAGTGCAAGGAGTCATGTGGACCCCTTTGCTTTTAGCTAGTACCCCGACTTGGCCCCAGGTGGCCACGGATGAGAGACAGTGCTGTTTGGAGCTGCTGGATAGAGATGTGCAAAGGCAAGGACTAGATCTACTTCCAGTGGGAAGTGGACCCATGGTAATTCTTAGCAAATGAAGGTGTGGTTTATCCACCTTGCCCTTGCTTCGTGCAGATAGCACACTCCCTTATAAACTTTGGAACAAATGCATATTACCTCAAATTAGTTGGAGAAAGGAAGGAAAGGGCAAAAATCTAAATTCAGTATTATTTATAGTAAAGAGCCAATATATATTGTCTAATAAATTAATAAAATATGCAAAGTAAAACTTAATGGAAAGAAAAATATTTAACAGGGCATAATGTTGTTGTTGTTAAGTGCCATCGAGTGGAAACCAACTCATAGCAACCCCTCCTTGGGTTTCCAAGGCAGTATCACTACAGAAGTAGATTGCCCCATCTTCCTTCTGAGGAGTGGCTGATGGGTTTGAACCTCAAGCCTTCTGGTTAGCAGTCAAGTGTCTTAGGCACTACGCTACCAGAGCTCCCACAGGGCATAATAAAGTCTGTCAAAAGAAT